GTGTTATACGATGTGAAAATGCATGTAATATTTTCATAATAAAATTGATATGAACCAAACAATGTTAAAACTTTCATAGTATATATATATATATATATATATATATATATATATATATATATATGCATATGTGTGTGTGTGCAAAATGTGTATTTATATATATTTATATATATATATATATATATATATATATATATATATATATATACTATATATATATACATACATACATATATATATATACTATATATACATACATACATACATATATATATATATATATATATATATATATATATATATATATATATATATATATGATCCTTTATATATATTATTTATATATTATATATATCGCATGTATTTATTGGAAAGCGCTCAATATCAGTTTGGCAGTTTTTCATATTTATAACTCCCAATGTGAGTTTGGGACCCTGGGTTTAAAATAAAAATAAAAAAAGGGTCATTCAAATCACATCAATCCAACTATATATATATATAGAAAAAATAGAAACCTCGAATTAGGCCAAAGAAATCGTCCTAATTTCTTCAATTTCTGGTCCAAAGAACGAAGAATAGCAACTAAGAGCAAGAAATTAAAACGAAGAGTTTCAACACGCTAAGTTGAGGAAAATCCTATGCAGTAAAAAACATACTAGGTAGGTAATATATATATATATATATATATATATATATATATATATATATATATATATATATATATATATATAAAATATATTTGATATAAACTTTTCCTCTGAACAGAAAAGCGACAGTCAGTTTCATGCTAGATGCAATCGTCATATGTAATTGCATCTATCATGAATCAGACTGTCGCCTCTAATATTGACTGAAATGTTCACTTTTATATTTTAATGTTTCTATCTCTGATATTGAGCACTTTATCCTTTAATATAGCACAATTAAGACTATATTCTACATATATATATACATATATATAAGTTTACAGTATAAGATTGATCTTTATATAAAACCAAAACTGGTAATAGTTTTGTCGTGTTACATTTTATTATGCAAAGGGAAACATATAATTTCTATTCATGAATAAACCCCAAAAGGTATAAACAATAGAATCTTGTTTTAGATTAATACACTATCCAATATACATGAATAAATTATTATATGTTAATATGGACGCCTTTACATTCTATAACCTTCATGAATTTTTTAATCATTGATTTTGTTGGTCATATCACGTACAGTAGTTTTTATTTACTCTCTTTCAACTGCTATGCTTAACTATTGTTTTCTATTTTTATACTTTTAATGACTTATCACACGTTTTCTATTGGATTAATCGTTGGACAGGCTGGAAGCCATTCCATAAATTTGATATTTTCGAAATTTTTTTTTTGCCGGTAACATTGTCTAACATCTATATCGTGTTTAGTTTAAATCTTTTTGTTTATTAGCCGCATTTCTTTTTCAAGCATTTAATTCTTTGCATTTATCTTGAGACATTATCCACTTTAAAGTGTCATAATTTTACTGTCGAAAAATCTTCTTTTTCTTCGGCGTCTTTTCAGAACGCGAGCGATCATGGCTCTCCACAACATTCCTTTGTAGCTTTAAAAGCACTATTTGTCAGCTTACTTTCCTTCCCGATCCCTGTTCTGCCATCCATTTTAAACAAGCTCGTTAGTTATGTTGTTTCGTTTGCCTTCAATATATCACACGAGTGTCAAATTCTCCAAGCACTCTTTCCTCATTATGCGCCTTAGAAATTTCAACCTAAACTTTTTTATTTTAAATATAAGGGTTCTTTTCACTTCCGTTTTCCTTAAAACTTCCTCGTTGATCACATGCTTCATTAGTAAATGAATCGAACAAGTACTGTGCACAATATTCGCCACAAATCTTTACGCCATCAGACCTTACAGCGACATAACGTTGAAACACCGCTTCCCGTATGATCACCAAAGTTAAGCAACGTCGAGCCTGATCAGTACCTAAATGGATGACGGCTCAGAATTTTTTAATTTACCGTGGGGTTCGCTATATTCACTTACGCGCAAATAACCTTGGGAAAAGTATGAAATATATCTTAATTAGTATGAATTTTATTACTAAACCATTATTATGTAAAAAATATAATCTAAAGATAACTTCTGGCTTTAAATAACCTGCAAAGGGTTGATAAGGTGTAAAAAAAAACGAATCAATCAATCAAGCCACTTTTCTCGCCTTTTAAGTCGTTAATGGTCACTGTCCGAAAAATTAATCGGTGGGCATTAAATCATTATAAGTAAAAAAAAAGAAAAAATATGATTAATATATTTTTTCCTAAACCTATAATTGATATCATATTTTTTATAAACCTGAGGGACACAGTGAAGGAATGGATAGCGGCTCGGATTAAAGAATCGGAGATCCAAGTTCGAATTCCAGTCAAATCCATTACATTCACTTACGTGCTAATACCCTTGGGAAAAGTATGAATCCATTTCCCCCCCCCCAGCTATGGGTAAATAGCAGGACAGATTAGGTTCAATAGTGCTGGATGGCAACTGGTTTACCTCAGAAAGAAATGGCAACCTACTGCGGGAAAAAATCTGCCTCGTCAGTCAGTATCGAACGATACATGATCGCCTAAGCGTGCATCACGCATAGCACATAAGTGATTGATTTTAAGGCCATTTTATGATATATTTATATAATACTTTGTTATATAGTGGTTTCACAGTGGAGGCTTGTATTTGTACTAAGTCGGTCCTAAAATAGGTTCGACGTACAAAACATTGGGAACTTGATATAATAGGTAATGACTCAGTAATCTAATTGTGGTCGCTGATACTTTAATATCCGACTAACGGTCGTCAGACATCGACTGACTGACCAACTCCCTGAGCGACTATATTTATTCACCCCCCCCCACGTGGGAATCATGTGGCACAAGGCCGGTTTAACGTGGGATCTCCGAGCCCGTGGGCTCAGCCAAAAATATTCCCATTGAACCCGTATAAACGGGTTCAGGGTCGGTTTACCTCCCCGAAAGAGAATCCGCCCTTCGGCATAGCCTCTTTCGGGTTCCTCCCCGCCCGGAGGAAGAGAGTTCAACCGATCAGCCGGTCGAGACTTGAACGACCGACGATATTCAGTCACCCTCACGAGGGCGTCATGTGGCATGAAGGCCGGTTTAACGTGGGATCTCCAGAGCCCGTGGGCTCGGCAAAAATATGCCCATTGAACCCGTATAAACGGGTTCAGGGTCGGTTTCCGACCTCCCCGAAAAATATGAGAACCCGTCCGCCCTTCGGCGTAGCCTCGTTCAGGTTCCTCCCCGCCCGAAGGCAGAGAGTTCAACCGATCAGCCGGTCGTCCGATTCAGACTGAACTCAGACCGACCCACTGAGCGACTATATTTAGTCAACCCTCTACGAGGGCATCATGTGGCACAAGGCCAGTTTAACGTGGTATGTCCGACCCCGTGGGCTCGGACAAAAATATGCCCTTTGAACCCGTATAAACGGGTTCAGGGTCGGTTTACCTCCCCGAAAGAGACTCCGCCCTTCGGCGTAGCCTCGTTCGGGTTCCTCCCCGCCCGAAGGCAGAGAGTTCAACCGGTCAGCCGGTCGTCCGACTTCAGACTGAACTCAGGCCGAACCACTGAGCGACTCCCTCCTTACTCTTACTACTTCTACTTATTATAGGTGGGAGAGTCTATTAACTATAGAATAGGTGTGTTCCACCATAACATACTTTTTATTTTATTATTTATGATATTTTATTAATCCATTGTCTTTGATGTGATTAATCTTTCGAAGCTTTTAAAATATTGGCCCATATTCAATAGAGTTTACGTATGATCATATCATCAGAGAGAATCATTCTTGACTTCTATCAGTTTTATGATTGCTTGCGAATCCTCGTCACCATTTTTGTGATGTTGGGCGGCTTCGCTTGTCACTTTTGCTATGTCAAGCGAAAGCTCGTTATCCCTTCCACAAATGCTCGTTATATTCGAGACAACGTAGACGCCGGTACAAGTAGTAACGCCTTCTAATAATATTCGCACTAGTAATACTTGTCCAAGTAGTAATCGCCAAATAGTATAATGATCAGAAGAGAATCGTAATCCGTATAGGAGTAGAGAGAGTAACTATATATCAGTAGTGGATAGAAAAGGAGAGTTAACAGTGAAACTTATAGTAGCAGAGTATAGAGGAGGAATAGTGAGATATTCACTAACTGCCCCACACGGTCAGATGCGGCACAAGGCCAAGTATATTGTAGGGTATTCGAGCACGTAGACTCGGTCAGAAATTCCCTGTAGACCCCGAAAAAAACAGGGTCGGATAGCTGTCTACCACCCCAGACGAGAGACTGCCCTGCGGCACAGCCTCATCTGGGATCCTCTCTGCCCGGAGGCAGAGAGTTTGACAAGCACACTTCCGAAGTAATTCGGAGAGTGATGATATTCACTAACCGCCCCACGCGGTCGGATATGGCACACGGCGGAGTTTATTGTGGGGTATCCGAGACCGTAGGCTCGGACAAAAATTTCGCGTAGACCCCGTAAAAACGGGGTCGGGTAGCTGTCTACCACCCCCAGACGAGACTCTGCCCTTCAGCATAGCCTCGCCTGGGTTCCTCTCTACACAGAGGCAGAGAGCTTGACAAGCACACTACCGAAGTAATTCGGAGAGTGAACGATTAGTCAATACGCTACTTCGTATTTATTCACTTCCTTTTATGATCACGTGATTTACTTAATAATGGAATAGCCCGTGTTACTCATTGGCGATCTAGTTTCAAACCACAGTGTCGGCAACGACATTTACTCTTATACCACAATCAGTATGGCCGATGCCAACCTTCAGGAGAGAAACTCATTGCCTTCTGGTCTTATATTCTCCAATGGTATAAAGTGATTACTAGGTCTTCTGCTAGAAAATTTGGTTCACTGTATCGTGTCAGACAATTTTTCTCGACAGGAACCATCTTGAACATTGATAAATCTACCATTCGTCCTTGTATTG